AGTAAGTTTATCTACAATCTATGATATTTCCATATAAATAATTATATTTTAGCTCATTTGTGACACAATGCAGCAGTGGGCCAGATCCGGCCCGTGAGCCGTGGTTTGGTGACCCCTGTTCTACTTGATCAATCTCTTAAGCTATCCAGTTAGTGTGCTGTTACTAGTGGCAAGGCAACTAGGCTGTATATCTACAGAAAAACTGAATAAAAGTCTTAAAATGTTATAATTTAATTCTATGGGTCATTGGTTAGGCCACATTTGGAGAATTGTGTTCAGTCTTTGGTGCCTTACCTTAGAAAGAATATTGAATTGTTGGAAAGGTTCAGAGGAGGGCTACTAGGATGATACGTGGGATTGAAAGATTGTCATAGAAGGATGGGATAAAATCTCTTAAATTTCTTCTTTAAAATATGAAAGAAGGGTAAGAGGGGATCTGAATGAGGTGTTCAAAATTGCTAAAGAAATTGATAGTATTGATGCATCATCTTTTTTTTGTACTTAATGGTGAGAATAGAAGGATTAGGGGACACAAATACAGATTCTGATAGGGCATTTGTCTTTTGATGTGGTGAATGTAGTTAATTTAAGGACTATTGAGTGAAGGCTTGATATATATTTGAATGATAAGAGCTGGTTTTGAGTAGTTTATTTGCACTTTAAAGTTTAATTCAGTGGATAGGGTGTCCTAGATGGACCAATAGGTCTGCTATTGTCCATAAAATATATATATACACGTATCTAAGTAATTTTAAGGAGATAGTGTTATTTTGCTCAAACTGATGGGAATATTAATTTAATGATAATTAGTTCTTTAACAGAAAAAGAGATTTTAAAATTAGTTTACTTTTTTACACAAAAAAACAACAAAACAGATATGCCCTTATGGATGAAGGATGAAGATTTTTATGATGCTTTATTAATAAAGTTGTTTTATTCCAGTGATAAAAAAAGAGGACAAATATTTCAAAAATTACCAAACTCTTTACAATAAATTTTTAAAATGGTTGAGTGATGGAATTTGACATACTGGACGCAAAAACTGTTGAGGTCGTAGTTAAAACAAAAGGGAGAGGGAAAATATGATTGACCAATAAGTATCACATTTTCACTGATTAAGCATGGTAATAAATCAACTTCCAGTATAATGAAAAATTTACAAAATCAGAAATTAAAATCTTGTAGATAGATATATGCATAACTTTTGTGAAGATATTAATGTAATACATATCTGTCAATGAATCTGTATGTAATAAATCATGGTGTGGTAATTTCCAGTACAAGAATTTCTCACAAAGCAGCATCTAGAGTCCACTTAACAAGAGTTCTGACGAAAATTATGATGTAGAATATGATCTCGCTACTTTTTGAGCTTTGACTGAGTTCCTCGTCAAAATGGACAAAACAACAATCGTTAATGTCAGAGACACAAAAACAAAGCACAAACACAATAAAACAAAAAAGGGAAGATGTTTGCAATAGATGTGTGGATCTGGCAATAGAGAGAATATAAAAAGAAACATTTGTTGTTTATCTCTCTCATTGTATAAGCTAAAGGAAAAAGAAACTTATAATCTAAAATGAAACTAGCTCCGATTTTGATGTAAAGTAAAACAGACTAAATTCAAGTTTACAATTATCTCTAATTCAAAAATTTCTTAACCCTAAAAATCAAAAAGTCTCTATGAAAGCTGGTTAACAGGGGAGAGTATGACTTTTAATTGCCAACAAAAGATAGCATAAACAAAGCCAAGCTTCTCATTGCACTCACGTCATGTACATGGCCTAGAACCATGCACATTCAAATGTAAGGGCGGGGAAATCCTGAGCCTCTACACAATTCACCAACAGAAAATAAATCTTTATAGTTCGGGACTTCACGAGTGAAGTCACATCTGTCTTTCTGTGAGAAAATATGCTTAATGACCAATTAGAGGATTTTAGTCCCATGTGCAGCTAGAGTAAGAAGAAGCCATGTTGGTTTTTTGAGCGTCACTTAGCATCCAAGCTAAGCTGAAAAAAAAATTGTACCATCCTGCACTGCATCTTTCTTTCCCCTTTATTTCTAGGCTGACCTGACTAATCCTTATTCTAAAATTACAATAAAAAATCAAATCAACTTTGATCACATGTTACTCAACAAATTGAAATAACACCCTTACCCTAGTAAAACTACTTTACCATCAAAAATAATATGTAGTGCAGCAAAAATCAACTTTATAATACAATATAATAAAACTTTAACAAAGAATATTTACCCCTTTAAAATGAGGTCGTCTAACCAATTAGAAAAATAAACCCCTTAACAAAGATCACATATGAAAACATAATTCAATAAATACTCTTTAACAAAAAGGTACCTGTCCCCGTTCTGAGAAGATAAGTGACAATAGCAATATGATTACAAATAAAAATACTCTTTGAAAGAGAAAACATAGAAAAATAGCCTTTGACAACGAAATGGATAAAAAACAACAGATTCGTTTAACACAGAAATGCCTATCCTCTTTTGGAGGGGATAGCTAATAAAGATACACCATACTAAAATAAATCCTTACAGAAATACATAATTAAAATGTAAATACCCTTCATATGATAACACACAAAGAATAAGCCCTATATAAATTAGAACACGAAATGAAATAATAATCGTCAGCATAATAAATTCAGCAAAAGAGCTATTTCACTGTTCTTAAAGATTTATAACCCAGAACATATTAACAACCTCTTAAAAATGCACAAAATACAACAATCCTACATATGAACTAATATATACATATATTCAAAAGCGTACTATTAATATATATATATATACACACACACATTCTATAAATATATCAAATAGCCCTCAGTTCATTCCAAATATGCAATAAGATAAAAGCTACACTATATATATGTATATATATATAGAGAGAGTGAAACCTCGTTAATATTACCATATTTCTAATGAAGCAGCTCTTCTGGATTATTGAGACATTTAGATAGTTAAATAAATCATTTTGAA